AAAACATAGATGTAAACCTTTATGACCTTAAATTACACAATGGTTTCTTGGCTATGACATCAAAAGCACACACAACCAAAGCAAAAATAGGAAACTGGACTTTATCAAAATTAAACACTTTTGTTCTTCAAAAGATACCATCAAGAAAGTGAAAAGACAACCCACAGAATGGGGAGAAAAATACTTGCAAAACATGTATCTGATAAGATCTAGGATATATAATCTCTTATAATTCAACAATAGAAAAAGAAGTAACCCAGTTTTTTAAATGAGCAAAGAACGTGAACAGACATTTCTTCAAAGATGATATGCTCGGATGTCTGGGTGGCTCAGTTGGTTAAGCATCCACCTCTTGATTTCAGCTCAGGTCATGATTTCAGGGTTGCAAGATTGAGCCCCCTGTATCAGGCTCCGTGCTGGGCATGCAACCTGCTTAAGATTCTCTCTCCCTCCCCCACCCCCACCGCTCTAAACAAACAAACAAACAAACAAACAAAAAAACAGATAACATGCAAATGGCCAATAAGCACACGAAAGAATGCACTCCATCATTCATTATTAGAGAAATGCAGATCAAAAGCACAATTAGATACCACTTCACATCTACTAGGATGGCTGTAATAACAAAAGATGGACAGTGACAAACATTGGTGAACATATGGAGAAATTGGAACTCTCATACATCCCTAGTGGACATGTCAATGGTGTTGCCATTTTAAAAAAGTTTGACAGTTCCTCACAAAGTTAAACATAGAATTATCATTGACCTAGTAGTTTTACTCCTCCATGTATACCTAGGAGAATTGAAACTTGTGTTACATAAAAACTTGTACACAAATGTTCATAGTAGCATTATTCATAATAGCCAACAGGTAGAAAAAAACCCACATGTCCATCAACTGATGAGTGATTAAATAGCAGTATATCCATAAAATGGAGTATTATTCAGCCTCATAAAAGAACGAAATTTTAATACATGCTACAGTGTGGTGAACTTTGAAAACATGCTGCTAAGTGACAGAAGCCAGTCACAAAAGGCCACGTGTTATATGATTCCGTTCATTTGAAATTTCCAGAAAAGGCAAATGAACAGAAACTAATTCTGTGGTTCCCAGAGGCTAGCAGGTGGGACAAATGGATTTGGGATTTCTTTTTTGGGTGATGAAAAGATTCTGGAAATAGCGGTGATGGTTGCAGAACTTTGTGAGTATAGTAAAAACCACTGAATTGTATTAAAAGGGTGATTTTTATTGTGTGTAAATTATGTTCAAGATTAACTTCCAGATGTCAATCCAGATAGAATAAATGAAATATATCGCTTCCCAGCCCTTTGGCTAAGATTGAGTGTAGAATAAATGAAATATTTCCCACACAAAGAAGACCCCATTAACTCAGTAGTAAAATGATTCTTTTTAATAAAGTAAGAAGAAAGAACTCACCAAAAACAGTATCAATTTGTTCTAGAATAGCAATTTTATTAGTGAGAGCCCAGGGAAGGGCACTGTCCCTGATGTCAATATCTTCCTCATTCTTTCTTCATTTTCTAAAACTTCTTCAAAATTTACCATGTTCCTTCTAGTTCAGTTTAACTCTAGCAGGACAACTAGTTCAAGTTAATTCTTTATGACACTGAAGCCAAAACAAGGATAAAGTAAATATCAACTCCAGTACTAACTCAGATTGATTGGTAAGTGGCTACATGGAACACTGTTTAGAAGGATTCTGAGGCTATATCCAGGCAAGGCAGAAAAAAAAAGTAGTAATTAATTAAGAAAATCTGTCTTGAGCTTGGCAATGTTAGTAGAGGTGGGCAACACTTGAGCTCATTCTCTGATCTGGAAAAATGCATTATTCTGCTGTGAATGCAAAATCAGGTAGATAAATCTGGGTGGGTTGTAATGCGGATTAATAGGCACACTTACACAGCATGGCCTGAAAAGAAATTTGAGGTCTCTAGTTTACATGCAAAATCCCAATATTTTGAAATAGCCAACACTTATGGCTGAGATAGCAAGATCTCTCAATAAATAGCACCAACTTTCATACTGTATACTATCAAGATATTTTAAATAATATATTTTTATAGTATGTGCTCTCGAGTGTTCTTAATATGAGAGCATTAGCATAGGCTTATAATAAAATCTGATATAGTGAGAGATTATATCAGGAGAGATTTTTTTAAAGTTTTTATTTAAATTCCAGGTAGTTAACCTAGTGTAATATTTGTTTCAGGTATACAATATAGTGATTCAACACTTCATACATCACCTGGGGCTCATTACAGCAAGTGTCCTCCGTCATCCCCATCACCTCTCTCCCCCATTCCCCCAGCCACCTCCCCTCTGATAACCCTCAGTTTGTTCTTTATTAAGAGTCTGTTTCTTGGTTTGCCTCTTGCTCTATTTTTTTTTCCCCTTTGCTCATTTGTTTTGTTTCTTAAATTCCACATAGGAGTGCAATCATATATGTTTGTCTTTCTCTGGTTGATTTATTTCACTTAGGATAATACTCTAGCTCCAAGAGAGATATTTTTTTTTTATGGCAGTCACTGAAAAATCAAGATAATCACCAGTGGATGGACTCTCTGAGCCTGCAGCTGCACACATTTACTTAACTTTGAGTTTTACCTCCAAGTGAAACTGTCTCCTGACCTCCTCTACATGCTACAGTACCCAGTCCTTTCTTTGATAGATAGGTGTCAAAAGGGGGCTCCTGGGTGGCTCGGTCAGCTAAGCATCCAGCTCTTGATTTCGGCTCAGGTCATGATCTCAGGGTCGTGGGATCGAGCCTTGCATTGGGCTCCATGCTCAGCAGAAGTCAGCTTGAGATTCTCTCTCTCTCTTCCTCTGCCCCTCCCCCCCCAAATAAATAATTCTTTTTTTTTTAAAGGTGTCTAAATAATGAGTCCTATTTCTCTGGCAGATACTGTAAATCTTTGCTTCTCAAATGTCCCCAGACCAGCAGCATCAGCATCCCCTGGAACTTCTCAGAAATGCAATCCGTTAGAATTGCAGCATCACCCCAGACCTACGTAGCGGCAGCTCAAGGGTGGGCCCAGCAATCTGTTTGCACAGGGCCCCCAGGTGGCTCTGGGCTCAAGTTTGAGAGCCACTTCTGTGAGTTGTTTCCTTCCAGAAGTGGGAAAGGCAGTAGGGAGGGGGAGAATTGAGCCTGCAGGGCAGCAGGGTTGGCCCAGGATGGGAAACTCCAGCGGACACAGCGAGGAGTTGTTTATTTCCTCTGCTTGCCCCATGTGCCAACTTTCTACTTCTTCAGAAAAGGTTTGAAATGCTCTCAGGAGCTCCCCTTGTCACCACGCCCACCCTACTACCAGCCTGCTTTGAGTCCCTTCTATGGGGACAGTAGCAGAAAGCAGGAAATGAGGATGGCACTTATATACTCCCTCATGTCACAGAGAAGCTGCCCTTTCTGTTTAAAAAAGAGTTGTCCTCAAGAGCCCCGGCCTAGTGCTTCCAAACCCAGCAGGCCCCACAGCTAGGAAATGCATGTGAAGCACTTAGAACAGCACCTGCTTCATAGTGAGAGTTCACTCTGTGCAGGGAATGATGGTGATGGTGGCAGTGAGAGCAAGGGCCAGATTTCCCCACAGGGGTGCCTAGGTTGGCATCTAGAAGCAGTTGCTATTTGTACTGGGTAGGTGGTCGCTATGTTGAAAGACTACCCACTGCAGACAGATGTTGATCTTGAAACCCTTTGCAGGCCAGCAAGGCTCCCTGAAGACAGCGCCCTAACTGTGAGGCTGGCCATCAGCTGAGGCTCCTCTGGCCCGTCAGGACTCACCACAAAGCCCAGGGGCCTGGCTGGGGTTGGCGTTTGGGGTGATGAGCATGGGAGGAGGGGCTGAAGAAGATCGAGCAAAGCAAGGAGGAATTTCAGAGCCTTTCTAGCAAGAGTTCAGTGTTGGGGAGCCTAAAATGCAAGGAGTGGGGAGGTGGTCCCAGGATGTAATGCAGCCGGTGAGATGCTGGCCACGAATGTGGGAACCTCTGAGCATGCATGAGAGTGCAGGTCCCATAGGCAGTGGGTCTCCAGGACACATAGGCAGATCGGGACTGCTATAGGAAGCTACTGACCAGAGTCAGATTCCGAAGGCTCAGGTTACAGTTCTTGCTTCCCATCTGTTTTGTTCTGTTCTTCATAGCAGCTTTGTTTTATATCCTGGTGTAGCCAGCAGAGCACCACGTATCAGCGTCAGGAAGATAGGGGAAGGGGGGCAGGAGGAGGGGAGAGGAGCAAACAGAGGGCAAGGAATGGAGGAGGGGGTGGGGGATAAGAAGTGGTGAGTGCCCTGTCCTCCAAGTTTTGCATATCCTTTTCCATTTAGTTATCAAAACTATGAGATTTCGTTGTGGAAGAGTCTAGAGGAGGAGAGTCTTATTTCTAATTTTAAAAATCAGCTGACAGTGAACTTCGTCTGCCTAGGCCCCAAGATCTGAGGCAATCAAATAAATTCAATCTATTATAATGATGCAAATTGGATGCAGATCAAATCCCATGGGCATGAGGGGAGCTGTGGAAAGAGAAGGTTGAGTCCACCAAGGTATTTTGACTCCAGCAGAGGCATGCTGCTCCTCTGGGTTTTGAAGTTCTCAAACGCTCATGCATATCGGGGCCAGGAAGATGAATGCAGCATGCTAAATGGGCCTGGTATGAAATGATAATAGGCAACAGACACTTGGCTTCAGTGTCAGGGGGCAATAGGGAGTAGTGGGGAGTGCCCATGCCACCTTCTGAAGAGGCAGCCCCACGTAGCTCTAGCCTGTTGTAGTCGTGTGTCATGTGACCATGGTCTCAGTGTTGTGGGACCTTCTAATTTTTCACAAGAAGGCAGAGATCCCGTGTTTAGGCAACATTCGGTAGGCCATTGAAATGCATCAGCAGGCTGTATCTGCCCTTAGCTTCACTGGACCACAGTTGTGTATTTCCCTGAGTGGTGAACAGCAGGTTGATCCTTTCCCGGTGCTCCTTTCTCTTTCCAGGCCACTACATTTATGTGGACACCTCCTTTGCCAAGCAGGGGGAAAAAGCTGTGCTGCTAAGTTCTGACCTACAGGCTGAGGAATGGAGCTGTCTCCGACTGGTCTACCAGATAACCACGTCTCCAGGGTCATCAGACACCAGCCGGCTGAACCTCTATGTGAGATTTGAAGATGAAAGTTTTGATCGCTTGCTTTGGTCTGCTAAGGAACCTTCAGACAGCTGGCTCATAGCCAGCTTGGATTTACAAAACAGTTCCAAGATATTCAAGGTAGGTAAAATGTAGGCGCCTGACTTATCATATAGCATTATGCGACTCTGAGATCGTATGAAAATTTCTGCCACTAAAGTTACTGATCTCCTATGTTAGGATGTGCTGCTTTATAAGAGATGTGTCCCAGAAGAATAGTCGTAATTAATAATTAGTAAGTTAATATTGTGTTTATTCTTTAGAAGAGCTTCTTCCCGGATTTCTTTCTCGTCTATTTAAATGGGACTTCTGTGAGAATCTAAATGGAGCCTAAACCAACCTCTTTGATGGAAATTTATTTTCTAATGGGCTTTAGGGAACATCCTCATTTCTAATCATTTTGTTTCCTCTTTCTCAGTTGTGTATGGTATCTCCCTAATGATCTGTTTGCTACAAATATTGAACAAAACATTCACTATCGTTAAAGGAAAAGTGGAGCTACTTTGAAGAGGGAAAGATACATAAAGGATATGTTCTGAATCCTTTTCAGAGATGGAGGTTGTTGCATCAGAAGTGTTGGAAGAGGAAGGTCGACAATGTAACATAAAGCTGGATGTTGTTTGGAGCAGGGAAGGAGACGCAAAGCGTGACATGTAGTGAGACTGTGTTGTGGAGGAAAGGATAGGGCCTTCACGGACACGTTCTCCATTCCTAATTCCCTTTTCAATTCCCTATCCCATTTGTCTCCCTCAAAAAGTGCTGAAATGCTGTCTACTCCTCTCCCCATCCCATCAGGCAGGAGGGAGGGCTGAGGGAAGGAGCACTGAGGTCCGAGCTCTCTAGTTCACACTGTCTGCCCAGTAGTAGGGCACATCCTAAATCTCCCAGCATAGTTGCCAAAGACTGGGCTGAAGTCACATAAAGAGAAGCAAATACTTCCAGAAACGGGAGCGAAGATGAACCACAGCAGGGCTTGAAATCAGCCGTGTAAATTGTCATGCTCCCCTCGGTTCTTTATGTAAAATTTTCCAAATTTGTTCAACAATACGGAAACTACAGGTTGATTTACAAGCCTCTTCCATCTCACGTGGAGTCTCCCAACACTAAGTCAGATTGTGCTTCCCCCCTCCTCCTCCAAGGGTTTTTCCTGCTGAGGCCTCTGCCCTGAGTCCCTGACCGTTCTCAGAATGCATTTCCCCACAGGCACCAGCCACCCTCCCCATCCACAGCCAACCGGTGCCACCACAGGCGCTAGAGAAGGGGGTGGTTGGAATAGCACTTGAAGACAGTGGCCCCAAGCTTTTACTGGACACATTTCTCACCTTGTACACACACACACACACATACACACACACACACACACATTCTCTTCGAGCCCGTGGTGAGATTGGTATCCAGTAGCAATTAGCTGAGACAAGCAATCTCGCCTTGCTTTGAATTGCTGAACAGCTCCCGACTAGCCTGTGAAATTCTGAGACAGGGAAGCACGGTGTTTCCTTGGAGTTAGGGAAGCCTGACTCCCTTCTTTCTCCTGTGTCATGCAGATTTTAATAGAAGGTGTGCTCGGACAGGGAAACACGGCCAGCATCGCACTCTTTGAAATCAAGGTGACAACCGGCTACTGTATTGGTAAGTGGGTTTCGTCCTCACTGTATCGGAATGTGAATTGGGATTCTTCTTCTAAAATCTGTTGCCAGAGGGAACTGAACCAATCCTAAAGGCAAGGTGTTTTATGGAAGTCAGGGCATGATGCACCCTAGCTTACATGCTTCTCGAGATTCACTTGAATGGTGTATGTTGCTCCCGTTTGTAAGCGGAGGAAGGCTCGCTGGAGTCTGCCCGGACTGGCTGGGTTAAGGAAGGGAAAGGAGCAGCAGCAACTATAACCTGAGCTGCCACCTGAACCTCAACATAGGCTAATAAAGATAATTTCCGGTTTGCTGTGAGCTCTGCTTCAGCCAGAAAAGCAGGCTTCGTATTCCCTTCTTTGCTCGTTTTACTCCATTTCTCTCTGATACACCTTTGCCCTTTCTGTGCCCTGTGGCCGCTCACCTTCTATTTGTCTGCCATTGGTGCTATTTCTCTGTAAGGTGGGCACTCCTGGAGGCCAGGGCAGGCTGTGGGGGTGCAGGGAGGAGGAGCACAGGACACTGGTCAGCACTAAACACCAGGGATGCATTTGAGCTGCGGTTTCAGGAAGCAGGGGAATTCCGTGAGGTGCAGGTGCAGGGGAGGAGGGGAAGAACTCTCTGTGGGCAAAGCCCAGGGCGGAGGAAGCACAGGGTGTTCTCAGGCACCGGCCAGAAGCTGAGGAGGGTGTTTCAAGTGCGAATCAGGACCCAAGCGAAGCTTCGGGAAGAGTCTGGGTCCCGGCTGAAGAGGGTGGATGATTCCGTGGTTGGCAGGTGTTCAAAGCTCCAAGTCAGCGGAGGGGGGTGCCTGCGGCCGTGTCCTCACACGGTGACTCTGGCGGCCCTATGGGGGACTTGGAAACGAGGAAAATAAATACGTAGGAGAGGAAAACCCCCAGCAAGTGGTTGTAACCTTACAGATCAGACATAAGGAAGGCCCAGCGCTGGGCTCTAATAGGGAGAAGGTGGGAGACTGCGAGATTTTTCAGCACTGACGGCCCTTTGGAGGTTGAATGGCTGTGGAGAGGAAGGAGAGTCAAAGACAATTCTGAATAAAAAAGAGCCTTTGCTAATTCCCTGACTCTCACTTCTGTTTTGACCTTCCACGGATGATACTAAGGTAAGTGAAGGAAAGCACGAGGGAAGAAAACGTGACCATGTTCTGAAGATACAGTGGGATTAGACCCATGCGCCCCCTGCTAGTTCCCTCCCGCCGGCAGGTGGGCCTCGGACAGCCCACCCACCAGTCCGACGGGCCTGCTGCAGCGCCACCTGCTGGCTCCTCAACTCCCCGCGCCCCGCAGCCTCCGTTTCTCCACCTGCAAAATGGATAAAATGCTTCCCTCGTAGGAATAATGCGGGGACTGATGAGATCGTAGGTATGAAGGTGACTGGCCCAGCAGTGGGCACTTTAAAAATGTAAATTTCCTCTCTTCAAATCACTCCGTGGCTTCTGGTTTGCTTAAAAAAAAACAAAAGGAGTGCCAATACTTTCATCTTGTTGAGATGCCTGATCCCATGGTCCCCTCGCCTTCCTTTCTGTGCTCTCCCTTTGCTTGTCTCCTCATCTGTAAAATGAGGTTAATAATAGTACCTACCTCGTGGGACCGTGTCGAGGACTGAGTAAGTTAATTCAGTTAAAGTGCTTAGAATAGTACTTGGCACGTTCAGAACTATTTGGCTTTCTATTTTATTCTTCAGCAGGCTTTGGTACGGAACAGGGGGTATTGCTTGGCAGACGCTGCAGTGGAAGAGTTGCAGAGAAAAACCTTAAAGTTTTTCAGTGATTGCTAGTGTAAAAACACATTGATAACTATATCAATCAGGGTCCTGGCAGGAGGAAGAAGACTCATTGGGGGGCTACAAAGTTGTGGGTGGGTGAAGGAAACCAGCAAAAGCACAGGTGGTGATCCAGAGCGATGATTCATCAGCCATGAGGGCAAGGGGGGCGGGCACTGGAGCCTGGAGCCAATGGTTGTGTGGGGAGGGCTCCCTGATAGGACCCGTGTCCTCAGGAGAGGGACACAGCCAACCTATGGCAACCTGGCAGGAAAGGAGCTGGAGGCTTGTTCTCCTCCTACTTTCCATTGGTGGAATCGGAGGCCAGTGACACAGTCCATACAGGTCTACCACTGGAGTGAAAAAACGGTGGGGGTGGGGTCTGGAGGGGTAGTGGGAGACAGCCAGGACAATCAGACTTCGTATTTGTAGTTGATGATTATGGGGGTCAATACAGGCTCACTGTTTGTGAGCTTCTCATTCCCACTAGAGGAGTCTGTTGACTGGGAACAATTTATCTGTGCAAACATGTGTCATTGCTACTAAATGGCAGAGGGTAGGAGGTGAAGTCTCTTTATTTTCTCTCTCTTCTCCACTGAGGAGCTGCAGAAGGACCCAGAGCCTAGGCTCTGCCTCCCCTGCCTATTCTGTTTCTTGTTAATAAGAAAAGCAGAGGCTGTTAGCACCTGGGAAACATGTCCTTTAGCCCTGGGTATCTTGTCTACCATCAGGAGAGAAGGGGATGGGGATATGGGCTACCAGAAGGGTGGCAGACACAATTTCTGAAGCTAAGAGGATGGTCCCAAATAGGGCTTTGAAGCAGAGGTGGCTGAGGCACCAGGCACTAACCACACACCTGGCTCTGTGTGGGGACAGTCCTGTGCGGTGGGAACGTTCCCCTCATTCCGCAGATGAAGGCACAAGCCCAGGAGAGAATCATGCTGCAATTCACATGGCTAGTCAGTGGCGGGGCCATCATCCAAAGAAGCAAGGATGAATTACACTTTCCAGCATTGTCCAGGGATCCTGGTACAAAGCATCCAGTGGTCAAGGGGAATGAGAAACATATCTGAATACGAAAGGGCAAACCCCACAGTGAGTAGGGGTATATACCTAGGTTTGATCGTGTCTCCACAAAGTGCATTTTCGTTTCTCTTCTGCCAGAATGTGACTTTGAAGAAAATCATCTCTGTGGCTTTGTGAACCACTGGAACCCCAACGTGAACTGGTTTGTCGGAGGAGGAAACATTCGGAACTCCCCTTCCATTCTCCCGCAGGATCACACCTTCAAGAGTGAACTGGGTGAGCTGGGGACAGATGGAGTCCTTTTCCCGGGGGAAGTGTTTCCACCTTCCCCTTCTGCCCCCTCCATTGACCTAACTGTGGCCCTGTCAACAGAGAAGGGAGACAGGAGAGTGAGTAGGGACCGGGAGGCCTGGTGGAAGAGCAGGAAGGCCGGGCCGGGCCGTGGGTTTGAGACGGACCGCGGACAGGAGCTCTCTAACTAAGGACAAGGCCACCCAGTTAAAGGCTTTTCTTCACCTGTGACCTGATCTTGCTCTTTTCACATTTCCATATTATGCTTTACTTTCTTATCGTTTTGTCGTTCTGTATTTCTTATCCCTAAAGTCAGGGCGGGAATAATCCTAGGTTGCTTTTCACTAAAAATAGATCAGGTGATGGGAACCAGTCCTTAAGAACTTCCCAAGTGGCCCTGAGGTGAGCCCCAATTCCCAGTGGTGAATCCTGAAAGCAACAGGGCCACCTAGCGGCCAAGGGGGCTGGACTCTGCAGGGAAATGGAAAGGAGAGAGGTTCTTGGGGATGAGTCCGCTCTAAGGAGCATGTTTCCACAGATGGGAGACATGGGCAAAGGCTTACTTCCCAAGGATTATGACAGCCTTCACCTGGGCCCTGGGAAGCTTCTAGGGTCTCCCCATAGTTGCAAGACGCTCCAGTCCTCAACCCCAAGGGCTTGTTGACTAGCGAGAAGATTCTGGTAACTGACTTTCCATCAAGAGCAAGAATAGGAATTTTGGTTCTGCTGCAAACAGTCCTTTTTCCTAGTTTGATCTGCTGCCATGTTGATACTGAGGTCATCTGCTCTGTCCTAATAAATTGTTGACAAGGACAATGTGTCCCCAAGCCTGAAGACTTGGCAACTTTTTATGGTTCTTTACATTGTTCCTCGTTCATGGTAGTTTCTTTTCATGTGAATATTTGTAACCTTGTCTCTGACTCTTTTTTTAAAGTGCCCATCCTGCAGCTTATCTTGGCTCTGGACAGTCTCCATCCTGAGACTGGTCCTAGTATATCAATTTTCTAAAGGGGCCAGGCAGATGTTATAAAGTGACATGTGGGCTGGGAGAGAAGTGTGGCAAACTAGGGAGCACAGACTCCGTACAAAGCTCTAATTAATTGCTGCCATGTGAGAATGCAGGTCCAGTGGGCAGATCTTTTGATTTCATAAGATAATCAGGAAGGCAGGGGTTTTATGTGAAATTTCCCTAATTTTTTAAAGTTGGTAAATATTTTCTTTTTTTAAAAAAGATGTTATTTATTTGTTAGAGAGCACACAAACACACACACGCATGAGCACAAGCAGGGGGAGCGGCAGAGAGAGAGAGGGAGAAGCAGACTCCCTGCTGAGCAGTGAGCCCAACTTGGGCTCTATCCCAGGACCCTGGGGTCATGACCTGAGCCGAAGGCAGATGCTTAACCTACTGAGCCACCCAGGCGCCCTGGTAAATATTTTCTTTAAAAACACTGCACAGCATCAAAAACTAATGATGTAATGTATGGTGGTTAACATAACAATAAAAAAAAATTAAAAACACTGCATGGGCCAACAAAACACATCTTCAGGTCAGGCCCAGTTAGCCAGCTTCTATTTTGCAAACTTCATTGTATGTGTTCCTTTTCTTTTTCAACATGTCCAGGCTTCTTACAACAAAATGTTGATAAGTAACCATGTAGTAAAAGGTTGGCGTCTCCTGGGCTTACCTGTTTAAGACAAATCCAACCTTGGATCTAGCATTTTCATTCATTTGACCCTGGATTGGGTCTGGTTGGGAAAACAACAATAAAATGGCACATTCCCTATGGTCCTTGCCCAGGTTCAAAGAACATACATTCAAGAAAGGGAAAAGGGTTTCTATCACACATGGATGTAAGACAAGGTAGCATGTGTCAAGTGCTCTAAGAGTGGTCCCTCCATTTCCATCAAAAAAAGAAGAGTGCTGGGTATTCAGATACAAGAGAGATCACGTAACTGCTTGGACGTTCTAGAAGACATGATGATGAAAGAAGTCAGCTGCGTTGAGGGATAACTTTGACAGGCAGAGACAGGAGAGGGCCGGAGCAGTAATACATGGTAGCAATCACAAGGGGTACCAGAGGGAGAGATATGATTGGGAAAGCAGTATAAGGGCAACTTCTAAAAGGCCTCAAATGCCAGGAAAGAGATTTTAACTTTACTCTGTTGACAACGGGAGGCCATTGGAGGTCTTTGAGCAAGGAGAGATGTGATCACAGCAGTGTATTTAGTTTGGTTAGCCAGGCAGTGACTATCTCAGTAAACAGAGGACCAAATGGTAGAACAAGAGAATTAAAAACACCCCAAAATGATTTCTTTAGGTACATCTAAGGTCACTTACATAAATAATTGAGATTAGAAAAAGACAAAACATTTTCACTTCCGTCTTCTAAAAGTAAGGGTTAGCACTTTTGGAAATGACAAAAGATTGGAGTTCTCTCTCTCTCTCTCTCTCTCTCTCTATATATATATATATATACACATGTATATATATATATCTCCATATTTTGGCCCTACAGACAGAGAGCCCATCTCCACTTGTGGCCATTGTAGGAAGCACTGTAAGTGTCATGCACGGAGTGGGTGATAACCTAGCGTGACAGATTAGTCCATGAATCTGCATGAGTATTTTAAATAACAACTGGGTTCATTCAAAACAACAAAGTGTGGGGCGCCTAGGTGGCTCAGTCTGTTAAGCATCTGCCTTCGGCTCAGGTCATGATCCCAGGGTCCTGGGATCGAGTCCCACATTGGGCTCTCTGCTCAGTGGGGAGCCTGCTTCTCCCTCTCCCTCTGCCTCTCTGTGCTGTCTCTTCTCTCTCCCAAATGAATAAAGTATTTAAAAAAAAAAGTTACCAACTCTTGAAAGCTTTGTTTCAAGGAATAGGACAACCTACATAACATTCTGCCGTATCTTAAGAATATAGTACAGGGAGTAGAGAGAATCTTGAAAGACTAATACTTTAAAATTGTATTAATCTCTGGTGTCATTATCACAGGTGTCCAAACTTAAATGTGGGGAAGTGTTGGAGAAGTTTCCCCAAATCACTTAAAAATTAGTTCCAGAGTCAGATCCTCTGAGTAACCAATATCGTGATTTAATGACTGTGTGTTCAGTGCATCATTTTTCTTTCTTTTTTAAAAAGATGTTCTTTTTTAAGTAATCTCTACACCCAGCGTGGGGCTTGAACTCACAACCCCAAGATCAAGAGTTACATTCTCCACTGACTGAGCCCGCCAGGCTCCCATATCATTTTTTATCCTCAATGATTAATGAGGACCAGTTGGCTAAGGAGAACACATATTTCTGGGGAGAGGCAACAGATCTGTGTCCTACTGACAGATCATCCATCTGACTGTGTCACTTGAATGTCATCCACCCTCTGAGGAGTGCATCAGCCCTAGACCTTCCTCACTCTGGTTTGTGACCATGGAACATTCTGCCCACATCTGTGTCAACAAGGGACAGGGACAGAGAAAGAGGGCCAGGCTAGGAGTTCAACACTTGTGCTCCAGGCCAAGTTATCCAAGTGCCAGATTGCCTTGGGCAATCCCTCGACTTCTCAGGGTCTCCACTGACCTGTTTGCAAATGAAGAATTTGAATTCCATAATCTCTAAGATGCCTTTGAGTTCTAGTGTTTTACTCCTAATGCTGTACATCAAAATCTCCAAATTCACCACTCATTGTAACTGGGGGGGAAAGGAAACTGGGGAAACCCTAACTAAAGAAAGCTAAACAGACTTCTTTATTTCAGGACTTCTCAGTGCCTTTAATACAGTTCTATGTTAATGTATATTATGGCATTTCACAAATTATTCAAATGCCAAAATGCTCTGTAAACATGCAGAATGATGCATGACTAACAGAGATGTGAAATAAAAGATAGGGGACCACAGAAAAGTGAAAGATCACCTTGGTTTTGGGGCTCAGGGAAAGCTTTCTAGAAGAAGTCATCTCAGAACTGGAATTTGGCTAGATGGATAAGAAGTACAGCATATGCAAATGTATGCAGGCCTGAGGGTGGAGATTTTATTCTGCGGTTGTAGAGTATTTGAGAATGCCGAGATATAAGATGATGGCAAAGTAGCGCTAGACCTAGGTTATGTTCCTGCTCATAGCCAGAAGCCTGGGTGCCTACATTCTACTCGCTTCTCCCAGCTCTCTGCTATTTCTCTCCAATTCCTCTTGAACTTTTACACTGATGTTTTGGCCAGTTGTAGCCAGACAACCGTCTCCTCCTCACCCAATGCACGTGTATACACATGCGTGCACAAACACACACTCTCACACTCCTCCCACGTGGACTCCTATATAAGACTTCTTCCTATAGGAGATGGGGCTAAAACAGATGAGTTCTAGAGATTCTCAGACATTTTCCTTGAAAAGCCCACAGGAGTCAGAGTTTTGACCAGAATCGCTCTTGGGGGAACAACAACAAAAAAAAACACAAAAAATCCTCTGGTGCTCTGAATAAGAGAAGGATTGCCTTTCTTTGTACATTTGCCTTCTGCTGGGTGTATTGATTTTTCCTGAGCTCTATCAATTTGGGTGGCAAAGTAAAGATTGGGTTCAGATGTCTGCCCACAGCAGCAGATTTTGCTCAAAAAAAAAAAATTCATCTCGGGGCGCCTTCGTGGCTCAGTCGGTTAAGCGGCTGCCTTCGGCTCAGGTCATAATCCCAGGGTCCTGGGATCGAGCCCCGCATCGGGCTCCTTGCTCAGCGGGGAGCCTGCTTCTCCCTCTCCCTCTGCCTGCCTCTCTGCCTACTTGTTCTCTCTCTGCCAAATAAATAAATAAAATCTTTAAAAAAATTTCATCTCATGTTCATTCATATACTGGAAGCAGCTTATGCCTTTGCTTTCAGGAAAAAACCAGGGAGGTGAATGGAGGGGCGAGCAAAGCCGTGTGTCTACTTAGAGATACGAAAGAGGTTGAGGGATGTCTTCCCTGGAGGGCTCTGGCCTTTGTGTCATAGAAGAAGGAAGA